TTGGACTTTTACTCAATAGTTTAAAGTTATTTTCCTTCTATGGTGTTTGCTCTGTTAATCTCTATGTGTTTGTGTATCATCTTCATATCCAGCCATCATCCTCCTAAACAGCTCTCATATGTTCACCTCTTTATCCCACCACTGCTAGCCCACCAAAGGATTCCGGCATCTCTTGCGAGACTACTGCAGTGGCCTTTAACTGGTTTCTTCATGCCTCTCTGGCCTCCTTCAATCCTTTATCTGTCTTATAGTCAGATATATCTTTGCAAAACTCTGAGCAAACTCCTTTACAGGGCCTCTTAGGCTCCACATAGTCCAGTTCAGCCTCTTTAGTTTTGATTGTGCCTCACTGCTCTATGCTTCAACCATGTTGATCTGTTTCTATTCCCCTGTTCCCTCCTGCAGAGGACCTTGGCATGTGCTGTTCCTTTTTCCTATTCCTCTTTTTCTAGTCACATTTACTTCCTCTTCAGATTGCAGCTCACTTTTTCAGGGAGTCCTTCTCTGACTTCCACATCTAGGTCAAACTCACCGATTAGAAGGCCTTTTGACATCATATCTATTGCATTTTTGAATGAATAACTTAATTCCCAATGTTGGATCAGTATCATTCACTACTAATGAAGACTGGTTATGCTCTGTTTTCTGTGCATTTTGGATGTTGGAGGTAACAAGAAGGCTATGAATTAGACTAAAGGTAGACAGTTAGACTGCCAGCCTAGAGGTAATCTTTGTTTCGATGGAAAATTCTATATTGCAGTTAGATGATGCGAGTCCTTCCTGATGGGTTTGTGACCCAATAGGTTATGAAGTTGGGAATTCCAGACAGCTTAATAAGCCATGTTACCACAATTAACTAGAAAATATCCAGGAAAGGGTATAGAGTATTGCTCAATGAATAAATGAGCAAATGCATGAAGAAACCAGTTAAAGGCCCCCTAATGCAGAGGAATACTCTATTCCTCCTAATACAGAGGAAGCCTGTGTATTAGGAGGACTTCAGGCTGAAACTGTTGCTCATACTTTGTAAAATTATGAAGTCTTTACATATAGGTGTTGATTAAGTCTCAGAAAACCAATTTTTTTTTTGAGACAGAATGCTACTCTGTCACCCAGGTTGGAGTGCAGTGGTGTGGTCTTGGCTCACCACAACCTCCACCTCCTGTTCAAGTAATTCTTTTTCCTGCCTCAGCCTCCCAAGTAGCTGGGATTACAGGAGTGTGCCACCACACCCGGCTAATTTTTATATTTTTATAGAGATGGGGTCTTGCCATGTTGGCTAGGTTGGCCTCAAGTGATCTGCCCACATTGGCCTCCAAAAATGCTGGGATTACAGGCATGAGCCACTGATCTTGGCCTCAGAAAACTAGTATTAATGGCAATGAACAAAATATTAAACAGGCTTATTTTTAGGATCAAAAAGAAGTAATCTGACTTTTCACCCAAATTACTTCACCCTACAGGCTGAAGGATTCAGATGATGTGGAGAGTGAATCAGTTCTGTTGGGAGGGAAAGGATGCCTTGTATATATATGTATTAGTTACCTAAGACTGTATAACAAGTTATTCTAAAACTTAGCCACTTAAGACAATAAACATTTATCTCAGAATTTTTGAGGCTCAGAAATTTGGCATTGCCTAACCGGGTCCTCTGGTTTTGGGTCTCACAAAGCTGCAGGGACTGTCATCTCACAATTCATGTGGGACACACCCACTTTCAAGCCACCCAGTGACGTTGGCAGGATTCAGTTTCTGATGGGATTTTGGGCAGATCCCAGTTCCTTGCTGCTGTTGGCCAGACCCTCAGTTGCTCACTACTTGGGCCTCTTATACATGGCAACGTATGCATGGCAACTGTCAGCTTGCACATGGCAACTGGCTTCCATCAGAGCGGGCAATTGAGAGAACAAGAGGGAAGCTACAGTCTTTTCATAACCTATTCTCAGCAGTGACACCATCGTTTTTGCTGTATCCTATTCATTAGAATCATGTTACTAAATCCAGGCCATGCTCAAGGGGAGGAGTTTTCCACAAGGTGATGAATTCAGAGGGATGGGGATGACTGGGAACCACCTTAGAAGCTGCCTCTCACAGGGTGTGTCCATAGGCTTTTGAAATTGACCTCAGAAAGGGGAATCTGAGGAGAAGATTATTTTTGTTACTATCAGAAACTCAATCAGGAATTGGATCATTCCTGATCTGAATGCTTGTGGTACTAAGCTTATTGCTCTCTTGAGTGTTTTTTGTTGTTTTTGTTTGTTTGTTTGTTTTTTATTTTAAGGGTCTTGCTGTGTTGCATAGGCTGGATTCAAACTCTTAGGCTCAAGCAATCCTCCAGCTTCAAACTCCCAAGTAGCTGAGACTACAGGTGCTTGGCACCATGCCTGGACCTTCCTTAATTTTTTTGAATTGTGAGCTGTTTTAAACTAAGCCTTTTCATTTCTTTGTCATTTAAAATAATACTAAATGGACTTTTAAGTTTCCTTTTCAAGTAGGCAGTCAAAGCTAACTTTATAGCTTTTTGCTGTGGGGTTTTTGCTGAAATGAGTCTGTACAGACAAGTCTGCTACTCTTACGGGCTTCGAAAGGTTCTCTGTGATGCCAGAAATCCCACTATTTACATTAAATTAAAGGAGTAGCTTTTCCAAAAGAATTAGTACTGCTGAGTAGATTTTATATTAATCTACCTAAAATTTATTCAAATAATGAAAATGAATCTCTTTTAAGAAATTCAGTCTTTTAGTTTTTAGGACAACTATGTAAAAATATAAGATGGAGAGTCCTTTTTGGACAAACTCTAGTTGAGGAACTTAATCCAACCGGAGCTATTATGAAGGTCAGAAACAGGAGAGGGAATCTTGGCAAGGAATGGAGAGAGAGTTTGCAAATTGCAGCTTGAGTACATAGTTATGAATGGGACTGCTATTGTGTCTCCAAAGGAAAGTTCCTGTAATATTATATTCCTTTTTTAAGGAAAGAGAAAATGCACAGAAATCTTCTGCTGTGCTTCCTTTTTCTGTCCTACCTCTGAAAATAAACTAAGCAAAAAAAGAAAAAAAGGAAGGAAAGGGAAAAAAACCCCTTCCCTTGATGCTGGGCTTGTTTAGAAATATTATTTTCTAAGGGCTCTTTATGTGAGCCAAGCTATTGGTTGTATTGGTGAGTCTGGGACAGTTTTGTATGTGCTCTGGAAAAAAAACAAAACGCAGATGTGATTCCTTTTGCGTCAGTGTTTACAACTCAGATACCAAAAGGACACCTTGTTGATTAAATCAGGTTTCAAGCTCTGGTCTTACTTAGTGGTGAGTTAGAGAATCAGATTTGAAAGGAGAAGTGCTTCAAATGTTTAAGCAAGTGAAAGCCATGACTTGCTTAACACTGAATATTTATGATTAGTTAAAGAAAATAAAAAGAATCTCCTGACTCAAGAATACTTTAGAGAATCCAGTGGATTTCCTTTGCATGCTTGGACCTCACTGCCCTTATTCTTAGGACATGGATAAGCAACGCTAATAAGAAGTTGGAATTTCCAGGGAAATATTTTTCTTTGTTGCTCTACACAAAATAGTAATGAAATTTTAAATAAATCTTAATTGCATTTTCGAAACATAAATAGTTTTCATGTTTCCACTGTAACTCTATATTTCCCCCTTCTCCTCTCCCTGGCTCTGACCTCACCTCTGCTGTCCATGGGGAGCAAGATGAAATTTGAGGGTCAGAAATTTGGCATTGCCTAACTGGGTCCGCTGGTTTTGGGTCTCACAAAGCTGCAGGGACTGTCATCTCACAATTCATGTGGGACACACCCACTTTCAAGCCACTTATTGGTTGTTCCATGCAGCAGCTGGTGGGGCAGAGGGTGCAGTGAGCTGAAAGCAGGGACCCCCTGCAAGTCTGGCACTTGGGTGAGGGTAGGGCCTGCTTGGGGCTGCTTTCCAATCAGCCTGCCCCAGGAGCCCTGTGCCAGCAGGTAGAGATCAGGGTCTGGCCCATCCCAGTGTCAGGAAGAGAGTAACTTGCAAGGAGCCCAGACTTGTCCAGGGTAGCTTGGCAGAGTTGGAGAGGTGGTCTTAACAGGGTGATCTCCTGCCAGCAAAGAGTACTTGTAGTTGGTAGTTGGGGCCTCAGCGGGGTGCTGAGGGCCAGCTGGTGGTGACCAGGTATTATGCTGTGGAGCTAGAATGGAAGCAACACTTATTAAGGATATAAAGGAAAAGGCTACAGGATTTGGCAGGCGTCTGGATTTGGGCAACAGAGGACACTGGGAGGTCAGATGCCTTGAGGCAAATCAAGGCATTGCTTATCTGACTCAACAGGACACATTTCATGTTCTCTATCAGCCAAGCCTAAACTTGGGCATATAGTAGGTAGAAAAAGTTTTTTGGTTTTAGTTTCACATATTGTGTGTTCTAGTTTGGATGTATGTTGGACAGGTGCCAATCAGGTATGTTCTGACAGATGAAAGTGTAACTTTTTAGAGTGCTGGTATTTTAAAATACAAAAATTTGGTGTTAATGGTCTCCAGCCAAAGACAGGTTGAGCAACTGCTATTTGATTCCAAAGTTTATATTGTTTATATTTGTTTCTCAGGATCTTCAAAGTTGGAAACCTGGGAAAGGTTTAGAATTTTCCATGGTTGCAAATGTACTTTATTCACACGGATTATCACACTGGTGTCTACTCAGCAGGCACAGTGCTGTAAGCATTCAACCCACATGGTATCAATTCTCACAACAGCCCTGTGGGAAGGAGCATTATCCCCATTTGATAGATGGAAAAACCAAGCCTTGGAAAAGTTAAGTAATTTGTTCAATGTCACAACCTAGGTCTTTCTGACTTCAAAGTCTATGCTTAAAAATTACAGCAAACTGTCCCATTTCTTTATTTCTTAATGTGTTTTGATCATGTCTTCCTTGTAAGTTCAAAACATGGTCTTGGTGTTTAGGTTCTATATGTGCTAGTTCTAGTTCTTGATCAATAAATTCTCACTTACACTTTGGTGGAATTAGCACAGTATAGCCATCCATTGGCTATGTATTATTCTTTTTTGCCTTTCTCTTCTTTTTCCTGTGAATTGTTTGTATTTAACTGGTACTACTGGTACTACTATAGTTTGTTCTGGGAAGAATTTATCTTGTATTTACCTTCTGTTCTTCCTCTTTCTCTTTCTCTCTCCTTCTCACTCTAGGCTAGCTCTTTCTTGATCTCTCTCTCTCTTTTTTTTTTCTTTTGAGACGGAGTTTTGCCCTTGTTGCTCAGGCTGGAATGCAATGGTGTGATCTTGGCTTACTGCAACCTCCGCCTCCCAGATTCAAGCAATTCTCCTGCCTCAGCCTCCTGAGTAGCTGGAATCACAGGCATGTACCACCACATCCGGCTAATTTTGTATTTTTAGTAGAGATGGGTTTCACCATGTTGGCCAGGCTGGTCTCGAACTCCTGACCTCAGGTGATCCACCTGCCTGGGCCTCCCAAAGTGCTGGGATTACAGGCATGAGCCACTGCACCATGAGGTCTTTTAACAAAGCACTCAAGTACACTTTTATGCACACTGATGTTTGAGATAGCATCTATGGCTGATGCTGTCTCAGCTCGCAGCCTTCCCACCCCAACTTAGGAAAAAGGAATGGAGGATACCCCTTTCTCTGGGATGAGAGGGGAGAGAGGAAGGATACTAAGAGTCACCTTCTGCTGAGGTGAGGAGGGTGGAGGTATGAAAACGCAATAGTGCATCAGCCATGGTTGGATAAGAAAGCCTGAGTAGTTTTGAAGATGCAAAAGAGTTATAAATGTTCTTTTCAGAACCAATGAGCATTTTCATGAGAATTTCTCCAACAGGACAAGAGAAAAGAGTGGGGTAACTATGCCTAGGGATTGAACTGTTGGCTCTGAACAAGTGATGGTTGTTGGGGCTCAGAAACTGATACCCCAAAATATGGCATTTTGACATTCCAAACTGAAAAAGCCTCTAGGTGTCTCTGACATTCTCCCATCCCACCTTCTCTTTCAAAGCCTTTGTCTACCAAAGATCCAGACCCATCAGGGGAAAGAATTGTTTTTGCTTCCCCTCCCTGTAAGACCAGGAATGTGGCCACACCTGAACAGACCCTTTTACTGGTTAATCTCTGTTCCCCATCTATTTTCCTTGGTAATCCCAGCAGAATTCTTTTTCTGCCCCCCCACTCCCATAGCCTGTTTTGCTGGGGGTAGTTAAGCTCCTGAGTTATTTGAGGGGTAGGTGAACACTGTCATTCTACTTGTGTACATGTTAATAAAACTTGTATGCCCTTTTTCCAATTGATTGACTTTTGTGAGTTGATTTTTCAGCAAAACTTCAGATGGCAAAGGGGAAGATTTCCTTTGGCCTCTATGTAGGAAACGGGGACCCCAGGGTGTTCATGGGAGTATTGCTGAAATTGGGTTCTTGAGGTCCCATCTGGCTAAGGAGCCTATGAAGCAATGGGAAAGATAGAGTGAGGAGAAGTCAAGGAACCACCTATAATGAGGATAAAGGGCAGGATCTATAAGAATAAGGAAGTGGAGAAGTGAGTAAATAGAAAGGCTATAGTCCGAGATTTGGAAGGCTTGATCTTATAGGTGGAGTATTTCCAGCTAGTGATAATGTGCAGGGCGTGGTGCTTGTGTGTGGTTGGAGTGTAGTGAAGGTGAAACCCTCACATACAGAAGGAAGTCTCTGAGCTGTGCCTTTGGGTATTACCAAGGTCATCCACCTTCTTCCTGAAGCTACCCAGCAGAGGCAGGCCTGGGAGGAATGCAGCAAATGTGGCAAGAAAGGAAAAGTCCTGGAGGTCAAGAGATGAACAGCAAGGTTAGAGGGTGAGATGAAGAGTGAGGCCCTGAGAAGTGAGGTGATGGACAGGATGTGGCCTGGGACAACAGTTTATTTAGGAAAGTGATGACTTTCCTCTCTTTGTCCTGGGAGTCAAGGAAAGTTGTGAAACAACCACCCCTGGAGTGGGTTTATGAGGGGTGGGATTTTGAAGCAAAAGCCAGCTTTTCATTAGACAAGTAGGTGGAGAAAGTGTAAACAAAAAGTGATGATATAGGAGAATGACAATGGGTCAGGAGTTCAGAGGCTCATTGGAAGGAATGAGTAGGCTTGGGGTGTGTGTAAGGAGGGCTGGGTAGCAGGATGGAGACAGTATATGAGTTCTGGGAGTCAGGACTTTTACTGGAGTTTAGTAGGAGACCAAATCTACTGCAGAAACACGCATCAATTTATGTAACTGTGGTAGGGCCCATTAGAGACCCTCTGTTACTAATTTATTACCAATTCATTAGCTGTGACATATGCTTTCAGCAAATGATTAAAACCCTATGACCTGGAGTAAAACAGTTTTATATCATGACCCAGATAGCTGTGTGATGTATGTAGTAAGTGGGCAGGTGTGTCTAAGTAAAGGTTCACCGAGCAACACTTAACCTCTACTATAAGCAATACACTGTGATGTTTACTATTCTGTTCTGTTCTAATTCATTTCCTGAGAAAATGCTGGTCATGATCCACTGTGTTGATTTTATGATCCATGAAAACATTATAGGCCGGCTGTGGTGGCTATAATCCCAGCACTTTGGGAGGTCGAGGTGGGCAAATTGCATGAGCCCAGGAGTTTGAGACCAGCCTGGGCAACATGATGAAACCCTGCCTCTACACAGAATACAAAAACAATTAGCCAGGTATGATGATACATGCCTATAATCTCAGCTACTTGGAAGGCTGAGGCAGGAGGATCACCTGAGCCTGGGAGGTAGAGGCTGCAGTGAGCTGTGATCATACCACTATGCTCCATCCTGTGTGATAGAGTGATATCCTGTCTCAAATCAAAACAAAACAAAACATCACAGCCTGCAGTTGAATAAAGTGCTTTACACTATCTTGAGCATGTTTTGGTAATAGTTAAGTTCCATGTAACAATATTTCAATGAATGAGACTGAATATACAAGTCTTATGCCCCATAAGATTATAATGGGGCTGAAATTATCATTGCCAAGTGATGGCATGGTTGTTGTAACATCCTAGTGCTATCAAAGCATTACTCACGTGTTTGTGGTGATGCTGGTGTAAACCTACTGTGCTGCCAGCCACATGAAAATATAATATGTACAAATATATACAGTATATAATACCTCATAGTCATAATAATTACATTACTGCTTTATGTATTTACTATGTTTTTAATAGTTATTTTAGAGTATATTTTCTCTTCTTACAAAAAATAAAAGAAATAGCAAATTGTAAAATAGCCCCAGACAGGCCCTTCAGGAGGCATTGGAGAAGAAGGCATTGTTATCATAGGAGATAACAGCTCCCAGCATGATATTGCCCCTGCAGACCTTTCAGTGGGACAAGATGTGGGGGTGGAAGACTGTGATATTGATGATCCTGACTCACACAGGATCTAGCAAAAATGTGTGTATTCGTGTCTTAGTTTATAGCAAAAAACTTTAAAAGTAAAAAAAAAAAATGAAAAAGCTCAAAATAAAAAAAGCTTATAGAATAAGGACATCAAGGAAAAATATTTTTGTACAACTGTAAAACGTATTTGTGTTAATCTAATGAGTCAAAAAGTTAAAATTCAAAAGTTTTTAATGTAAAAAAGTTATAGTAAGCTAAGATTAATTTATTATTGAAGAAACAATTTTTTTTTCTTTTTTTGAGACAGAGTTTTGCTCTTGTTGTCCAGGCTGGAGTGCAATGGTGTGGTGGGTCACGCCCGTAATCCCAGTACTTTGGGAGGCCAAGAGTTTGAGACCAGCCTGGCTAACATGGTAAAACCCTAGTCTCTACTAAAAACACAAAAATTAGCCAGCTGTTCTACTGCACACCTGTAATCCCAGCTACTTGGGAGGCTGAGGAAGGAGAATCACTTGAACCCAGTAGGCGGAGGTTGCAGTGAGCCAAGATCGTGCCACTGCACTTCAGCCTGGGAGACAGAACGAGACTCTGCCCCCCAAAATAAAGAAGTAAATAAATAATTTAGCATATCCAAAGTGTAGAGTGTTTATAAAGTCTACAGTAGTGTATAGTAATGTGCTAGGCCTTCACATTTAGTGTCCTCAAGGACAGGGACACAACTCCTGTCCTCAAGTGATCTGCCTACCTTGGCCTCCCAAAGTGTTGGGATTACAGGCATGAGCTACTCTACCCAGCCCTCTTTTTATGTTTAGATATACAAATACTTACCATCATACTACAATTGCCTACAGTATTGAGTGCAGTCACATGTTTTATGGGTGTGTAGCCTAGGAGCAATAGGCCATATATCCTAGGTGTGTAGAGGCTGTACCATCTAGGTTTGTGTAAATGCACTCTATGATGTTTGTGCAATGATGGGATCACCTAATGACATACTTCTCAGAACATATTTCCCTTATTAAGTGATGCATAACTGCACTAGGTGCCACTTCCTAGACATCTCTGGGAGGAAGAACATTAATTTTCTGTATCTATTTCATACTTGCGGCTTATTGTACCATTTGGGAGAAACCAGGAGGTATTTGGTCAGTCCTTTCCCTGCTCTCAATCTTCATCAGCTTTATTTTCCCTACGGGATCATGGAAGGGCACCTCTTGAGCTTGGCCCAGGAGCCCATGCTCATCCCTTTAACAGTGCCCCCTGCCACCCCGTGGTTCTCTCCTCAGTTACACCTCAGATCCCTGGACTGCTTCTACTGTGCGCAGTATACTTTATGGTAACTTTCTGCATGTGTTGCCCTCTCTTTATTTTTTAATTTTAATTTTTAATTTTATTTATTTTCTTTAAAGAGACGGGGTTTCTCCATGTTGGTCAGGCTGGTCTCGAACTCCCAACCTCAGGTTATCTGCCTGCCTCGGCCTCCTAAAGTGCTGGGATTACAGGTGTGAGCCACTGCACCCAGCCATGTTGTCCTCTCTTAGCAGGCAGGGAGCTCCCTGAGGAAGACATTCTTGCTCTCTGTATCCCACTGCCTTGCACGGGGCCTGTGCAGAGTGGGTGCTAGCTTGCTTTGCGTGAGTGAGTGTTGTGATCTCAGAAGTCCTGGCTTAGGTTCCTTGTCCCTGTGCTTTGGCACCTTGTCCCTGTGCTTTGGCCGAGAGAGGCTTTGTGAGGGACACTGATTCTGTTGGATAGCCTTTGACTGGATCTTGCTGATGATCACTGACGATTTTCATTCTCAATTGCATGGATCGCTTTGGGGAACACAGACCAGCTGGCTGTGCTTGGCAGCAAGGTGTTATATGGTGGAAATGGCTGAATTCCACATATCCTCTGTTACTCACAGACATTCGGGGGAGCACGTGCCATCCCTCTCACAGTTTTGAATACATAGGACCGGATGCTCCTCACCCTTCCATTTCAGTGGGATAGTTTATCTAGCAGCTGCTCTGTACTGATGACATTGTGAAATAGGGATTTTAAAGGACCTCTGTGAAAATGGAGCCCCTCAACCCCTGACAGTGTGTTCTGCGCAAATAGGTTTAAGTAGGCTTTTTATGTATCAGAACTGCCTACATTCTGAAACATACCAACAAGACAGATTCAAGGTTGAATTAACAAAGGTTCAGCAAACTGAGATTATGCTTAGAAGGGGGATGCTCAGAAGTCTTGTGGCTAAGTCAGATTATAAAATAAACTCGTGTGTGGTGTAGACCTGTGTGTGTGTGTGTGTGTGCTGGTTTTGGGAAACTGATAGAAGTAGACCAAGTATTATTTTTTTATTCCTGGTGTGTGTGTGTGTGTGTATGCGTGTGTGGGTTTTGGGAAACTGATAGAAGTAGACTATTATTTTCTCATTCCTGATATGTGTGTGTGTGTGTGTGTGTGTGTGTGTTGGTTTTGGGAAACTGATAGACAGCAGTAGACCGAGTATTATTTTCTTATTCCTGATGTGTCTCCCAGGCTGGATATTGACAAAGAACAAAGAAGAAGTTGTCAGGCACAGTCAAGGAGAAGGGAGGAGCAATATGGTTTAAGTGTGGAGGAAGAGAATTGAAGGGACATTTGTGCCCCTTTACACACCCACAGAGCTTTTTGTGTAGGTGGGGGCCAGGCAGGGAGTGTTGCCAGAGACTTTGACTTCTCCGCCTCAGAACTTCACTCAGTGGGGTGTCTGTGTATTTCAAATCAATGTCAGCCTGCTGAGGGAGAAGCAAATATGTGTCCCCTCAGGGATCAGGCACATATTCCACATAGCCTCTGTTCTGAACAGAGCTGAGCTCAAGGGACTGGGTGGAGAGGGGGCCCTCTTCTCAAATAAAGCTCCTCTTTCTCGAAGTCATACTTTTGCTAATCCTCTCTCTTTAGAATAGTTTTCTCATTCCTTTTTTCCCCTCACTCATTATTTTACCCTTTTAAAGTCTACCCTGTCTTCAAAGATGACCCAGAGCCTCTCTTTTCTCTGCAGATTTCTTGGTCACCCAAATTGTGGTAACTTTTCCTCTGAACACCCCTAGCACTTACTGTCCATACAACTTCTGTGTCATGTGTAACAGAATAGCAGATGGAGGAACTTCAGCATTCTTGTGTCTCATACATGTAGGCAACTTCCATATTATTGTTTTTTGTGTTTTCTTGTTGCCCCAAATACAGCCCCAATGTGTCAACCCTTACTGTGTCCCCTGCAGTTCCTAGGGGATTTTGCAGGGGGAAAGAAGTGAGTTATCATGTAAATGAAGTAATGGTGTACTTTGACTGAGAATGTCAGAGAGTTTATTGTGCATCCCTGGGCACACAGCTGTCTTAGTCTCTTGAGCCGCTATAGCAAAGTACCTGAGACTGGGTAACTTAAATGTATTTCTCGCAGTTCTGGAGGCTGAATGTCCAAGAT